ATAGTAATAATTAATACATTTGAAAAAAAAAATTAGATTTGTTTACATTTAATATATGTACTATACATGCAAAGTGGCTTGAATACAAATCAAAGACAAAGTGTGCGAAAAATTATAAATTTAATCATTTCTAATTTATTATAATTTTAAAATGAAACAATAAAACAAATTTTTCTTGAAAAATAGTCAACTTAATACACCGTAAGGCTCGAAATTATTTCTTGTGTTGTAAGTATCCATATATTTAGAATATAAAATGAAAAAACAAACAGTAATAACTTTTTTAAAAATGAAAAAATGAAAATAAATAATACTTAAAAATCGCAAAGAACTCTTCGGTTCATTGATAACCCAGCATGACCCGCTTTAAACTCTTCAGTGTTCTATACCAAGTAAATGTGTTATATTTTATTTGTTTAAATCAACAATTATGTATATTAGTACAATATGTTTTTTTGTTTTGTTTTCACATTTGTTGGTTTTGCATTACACATGATAATGTCATGAATTAATTGATTTATAATTATAATTCATTAAATGTGTAATTCATTGGCAGCAATAATACAGTTTCCAATACAAACACAACCACAAAACATAAAATACAGTTACAAACGGGTAGAAATAAAAACATTTTMACGGTACACAATAAATTAAAGGTAACGTCAGAAAGTAACGGTAAACGGTAAAGCCGTCGATAGCAAAAGTCGGGTATGGAAAAGTATGTGAGAGGAGAGAAAAGAAGAAAAACCAGAAATGTTATATGTTACACGTCAAATACAAGTACAATTATGGTAAGTCAAGTAAACGTATGCGTAGTAATTGAAATTTTTTAGTTTGAGTTTAAGTTTAGATAAATAAGCAATACATTTTGTATGTATAAATGACAGATCGAAGGCCGTATACATATTTCTAATAAATATGTATATATGTACATATGTATGTAATGTTGTAGGTGATGGTGGTATTGGTTTAGGACAATTAATTATATTGAACGGTTATATGTTGGTATGTATGAACTTAGTTAGAAGAAGCTACGATATAGGCTCTTAATTACTTTAAATCATCGGTATCTTCGATCAGATCGGCATACTCCTCCCAATCGTTGTTTGTTGAACGTGTGCGCAGATTAGATATTGTCGGTATTTCGTCGTCATCGCCATTGCGATCAACAGTATTGCCGGCGTGAGTGCTGCCGCCACCGCGGTCACGACTGTGAGCTGTTGTCGTGCCGCCTGTTGTGTCGCTTACCACTTCGTAGTCCTTTAACTCAGCCTCCAGATCTTTTTCCCATTGTTCTTCTGCGCGTGCATTAAGTTGTTTTTGTTTTAGTAGTTTGCATGGAGTTTATTTTGTGGGGAAAATAAGAGAGAAAATTACATTAGTTACCATTTTTTATTAAACTTATTATGTTTATATGAATATATATGTATAAATGCAGGTTATAAATATATATTAACGCGTTCTAGGTATACTGTTACATAAACATATATTATATATTTATATACATGTAGCAATAAGTGCATTAAATATATATGAGTTGGAAGTACATATATTTAATAATATAATTAATTCAAATATATAGAAATATATATGTATTTATAGATAAATAAATTTAAACAATTTTCAACAGTGGCTAAGCACCTACCGATCATTCACATATATGGTACACATACATACATATATATATTAACATTTGTAACACATATTTACTATTATGCTTTTTGTTTATTATAAAATAATGTTTTTAATAATTGTAATAATTATTATTTTTGTTTATTATAAAATGAATGCGTGTAAATTTGTGATTTTGCTAAGTTTTGAGTTACGTACTTCAATATTATTTATTTATTTATTAACTAATTTTGTTTTTTTTAGTAAATATTAATGTAAAACAAGGAAAAATGTTGATTTCGGCTGCACTGAAACTATAATATCTTCACAGTTGCATTTTTTGTAGCATAAAAGGGTAGAAAAATAGATTTATCTCCATTTTGGTCAGCCAATTTCTATGACAGCTATATGCTATAGTGGTCCGATCTGAACAATTTACTTGGAAATTCTAGCGTTGACTTCGATAATTATCTATGTCAAATTTCATGAAGATATTTTTTTGAATAAAAAAGTTTYCCATATAAGGATTTAAATTGAAACTTTCAGTTTGTATGACAGCTATATGCTATTGTGGTCCGATCTGTATAATTTGCTCGGAGTTGGTAGTGATGCTTTGGATAATAATCTATGCCAAATTTCGTAAAGATATCACGTCGAATTAAAAAGTTTTCCATATATCCATTTGATTTTGTGCGTTCAGTTTGTATGACAGCCATATGCTATAGTGGTCCGATCTGTATAATTTCTACGAATATTGTAGCGCTACTTCGTAAAATAATTCACGCAAAATCTCGTAAGGATATCTCGTTAAACAAAAGACTTTTTCACATAAGCACTTGATTATGATCGTTTAATTTATATGGCAGCTATATGCTATAGTAGCCTGATCTGAACATTTTTTACGGATATTGTTGCGCTATATCGTAAAATAATTCATGARAAATTTCGTRARRATATCTCGTCAAATAAAATAGTTTTCCCGAAAAGAACTTAAATTGTATCGGTCAGTTTGTATGACCGCTATATGCTATAGCTGTGTGATATCGGCGCTTTCGTCAAATRAGCAACTACTTGAATGGAAAAGGACGTATGCAGAATTTCATATCAATAKCTCAAAAACTAAAGGACTAGTTCKGGTATATACATACAGGGTACAGGGTCATCACCATATTTTGTTGCGAAATTCAACTAAAAATCACATATGTTTGTGATATATAAATTAAAGAGTTGTAAAATTTTCTAATTTTTTTTTAATTTTGACATTTTTCCTCCTCCATTTCTGGAGGCCATAAGAAATTTTTATATATGTATATTTAGGTAATGTGTTAAGCATGATTATTGTGCGCTTAGCGCCTTACGTTTAATGTCTTCAATTGACTCAAAACGGTTTCCATGGAGCTGTCGTTTGAGTTTGCTAAATTGCAAGAAGCCACACGGAGCTAAATCAGG